CCTTGCCTCCATGTTTGCATGACGCTAATCCACGCCTCCCTATCTGCATGAGGCTAATCCTTGCCTCCCTATTTGCATGAGGTTTATCCTTGCCTCCCCATTTGCATGAGGCTAATCCTTGCCTCCATATTTGCTAGAGGCTAATCCTTGCCTCCACATTTGCATGAGGCTAATCCTTGCCTCCACATTTGCATGAGGCTAATCCTTGCCTCCCATCTGCATGGGACTAAGCACTGTCCCACTTTGCACAAATATTGCTCTATTTCTAGTACCATCTATTTGCTTTTCAATCGGGCTAAGCTCTGCCCTTCACAAGACTAAGCCTTGTCTTGTTAACATCATATTATTGCATCTCATGGGCTGAAACATCGCCCATCTATCCAAAGGCGCCATAGTCTAAAGGCGTCATCCTCATAGCCGGAAGACACCATGCCATGGCCTGAGGATCCCTCAAATTTGCATATCATTATTCAAAGGCGTCATGGTTCGGAGGCACCATCTTCATGGCCCGAGATCACCATATCATGGCCTGCGAATCCCTCACTAAACAACTCATGGCCCAGGACATCATGGTCTGAGGACGTCATCCTTAACCGTCCAAAGACAGCTCTCATGGTCCAAAGGGAATCTGCATCATGTTTAAATTTTCGCACAAATACATGTTTGTAGCATCTTTTCATCTGCAGGTGACTAGCAAGCAACCGCTATCCTAGCAAGAGCGACCTTGCTCCAGTTCCTTCAACTGTCTCAAACCTTAACTGCTCACCGTAGCCATGTGTAGTTCTGGATTCATTGGCGAAATATACCGATGAAGTTATTGCAAGAACGAACACGGGATGAAAAAGCAACATGATTCCTGTAAAACCAGGGATATGTAGGCAACTCGAGATCGGAGTCCGGCCTCTATTTTTTTGAAACATCCCATTCGATCAAAATTGGCCATCATTTCTTTGACCAAAAACTCTTTCATCTTTAACGGGTAAAGAGGGGCAGCTGTTGAAACCCAATTTTTCCCCATATATTTTTAATACATATATATACTTTCAAAATAGTACATATGCATTTATAAGCATGCATAAGCATTTCCTATAATTTTTCTATAATTTTAAGAGCTCCAAAACCAATTTATTTCTTCTCTTTTATTTATAAAATATCCAATAATTATCTTCAAATTACTTTTGTGATAATTTAGTCATCCAAATTCTTTATTTATGCAAGTATAGTGCTTAAATATTTTTAGTGCATCATTATAGTTATACTTGCATTTTTAGGGCAAATTGCGCATCTTTACAATAATAGCCCATATTAATGTATAATTACATTATTGATGCAAAAAATGGTCTTTTATATTTTTAAAATGTTAGCTAAGTATTTTTACATCATTTTAATACACGAAAATATTTTTTGGAATCCATTTATTATTTTTATAAATTATATAATTATTAAAAGTGGCTATTTAAAATCTGGCCTGTTTTATTTCAATTTCAGCCCTATTCTAACCCAATACCAGCCCAATATCTAAATTAAATATACCCAGGCCCAATTCCCCACCTGCCCCAACTCAATACCCGGCTAAATCTTGGCCGTTTATCATTTTTATCAACGGTCCAGGGCCCCCCTTTCAAAAAATAAACCAAAGACCCCCTCAAACCCTATCATTTCTACACTGTCCGCCGCCTTCAAACCTCTCTCCTCTCTCAAACACTCTCAAACCCTAACCCTAATCTACCCACATTGCCCGTCATCTACCGCCTCTCATGGCGTTCCCACACCACCACCAGGACCTCAATGGCCTCCCTCACGGTAATCTTGCCATCTCCAGGGTCCTCTAGGGACCAAGGCTAGTTGGCTTGCATCTATGGTTCCTCTCTCACCTGTTTTAGGCCATTCGTGTGATTCCGAGTAAGATCGTCCTATATTGACTACGATCTATGGTTTTTTGAGCATGGTTCTTCACCTCTATGTTGTTCTCTTCGAAACCCTAATTTCTTCTCTAAACCTCTTAGATATGTATAGATCTGAGGAGATTTGGGCTTGTTTTATGTGAGTTTTACAATAACCTTAAGATACTTTACAAGAATCGTATGATTTTCAAGTGATTTTCATCTTTTCCTAAACTAGGGTTTCCGGAATTTCTTTTTACAAATCGTTTGATGACTTTTTGTGTTTAATCTTCTGCCTCTCATATATTTTGACTGATTTTGTAAGTCTGCTACAACCTTAACTCGCTTGTACTTAAAACCCTGATTTTTTGGGGTTCTTCGTTTAGTTTCTGAGTATTGGTACATCTGATTATGTTCTTGCTTTGGGTTCTTGTGATTTCTCGTGATCTTCTTGTCCTAATATGCTTATACAGAATTTCTTAGTTCATCCTTTCACTGGTTCTATATGCTTGTGTTCATCATGACTATTCGTATTAAGAGCTGTAACATTCTCCTTGAATCAGTGCCGTTCTAACTATTTGTTTTGCTAAAGTTATATGGAATCCTGACTATCCCTGTTCTACCTTATTTTATATGCTAAACATGCTGACTCTTTCATGACTTTCTCTTTGATTATTCTGAATCCTTTGTTTCTTGGTTTGATTTGAACACTTTCCCTTATACTTTGGATTCTTACCTCTCTACTCGATTTGATTGAATTGCTTGCCTTAATTATCTTTTTCCTTGCCTTGTTTGTATTTTGCCGATTCTTACTGATTTGTTTCCTTAATTAAAACTTCTGTTCATTGACCCCTAATTACCTACTCTATATCAAACCTTACTTGATTCTTTTCCTTAAATACTTAGCATGCTTTTACCGTTGATTTAATTATCCCTTGATTAAGGGAAAGACTTGTTGATTTACGTATGACTTCCCTGATTTGCTACTTAATTGATCTCTTACCTTATTTGTTAAGCTTTTGATTACTATATAAGCCCCCCTCTTACTTTAAGTTGTGGACACAACGAACATTAGTTCAAAAATCACTACTCCTTACACTCTAAAGTTCTCTTTCTCTTCTGCTACTTGTGATACTCACTGGTCTAGCCGGCTGAAAGCCAAGGCTAGATATTGGAACTTTATTTGCTTTATATTCTGCACCCTTTCTTCAACTGGTATGTCTCTATGTTATCTTTTGAAATCCAAAACCTATTTGTTTCATTCCTGCACTAGTTCATCAGTCATGAATTCAACTTGTATTTCTGCTTACTTCTTTGCTCAGCATGTTTAGACTCTGTCCTATTCAATGTGTGCTTTATATTCTGCACTCTTCCCTGCTTACTTTTTTTATTTTTCCTAGCATGTTTGATCCTATTCAAGACATGTCGTGCTTTCTGTATCAAAACTATGATCTATGTCTTAGCTACTTACTGTCCATATTAAGCCTGTTAATCATACACCTAGGAGAAATATGTTTCCTATTATATGCTTTCACTAGTTCATGTGCTAAGATGATATTATCAGAGATTCTTCTTATAGCAATAAAGCCAGCTTATGCTTCAGATATAATACATGGCATCACTATTTGCATTCTGTCGGCTAACACTTTAGCAATCAGCTTGTACAATATTGTGCAACAAGCAATAGGTCTGTATTCTCTTACTGTTTCTGGATTAGGCACTTTGGGGAGCAGAGTAATGGTTGTACAGTTAGTTGCTTTATACATAATTCATGTCCGAAAGAACTCTTTGATTGCATTTCAAACCTCATTCCTAATGATTGGCCAAGTCTTTTTGAAGAAAACTTCATTGTAGCCATCAATTCCAGGGGCTTTCTCATTGCCTATTGAGCATAAGCCTTTGTATATCTCTGCATCTGTCACTTCAGCACACAGCTCTACTTGTTGTTGATGTATCAAGGTTGGCCCTTTTTTCATAACCATTCTATTAACTGCATGTAGATGCTTGGCTGATGTTCCCATTAGAGCTTTGTAGAATTGCATCGGTTCCTCTTTGATATCAGCAGCTTCAGTGAGGTTCCTTCATGTTTGTGATTTAAGCTCACTGATCTGCTTCTTCTGCCTTTTCTCTTTCGTGATTGCTGACAATTATTTGTTGTTTGAATCTCCCAATTAAATCCAATTAGCTCGGGTTTTTTTGTTGCAATATGCTTTCCTCAATTAGGGACCAGGATTCCAACTGCTGCAAGCAATCATTTTCTTGGTCACCTAGTGCATCAGTATACTGATTGTGCATTTGCGCTTGTATGCTCTTCAGCTTATTCCATGCTTGATTAATTCTCTCAGTAACTCCTTTATATACCTCTTTATTCAGTTGCTTAAACCTTGGTTTAATATCTTTTAGCTTATACCAAATAATCTTCATTCTTCCCCTGATGTGGTTTTGCTTCCATCCTTCAGCTACTATGTGAGGAAATTCAGAATAATCAGCCCAAACATTGAAAAATTTGAAAGGCACTTTGATGTTGATGGTGGACTGTGTAATAGGGATCAACATTGCTGCATGGTCTGAAATAAAAGGATCTTCATAATTGACGGTAAGATGGTCATGTTGCATCATCCAGCAATCATTTCCAAGTGTTCTATCCAGCCTGCTTCTGACTCTATCATCTCCTTGTTGCTTGTTTGTCCAAGTGAAGTATTCACCTCTCCATGGGATTTCAGTTAGATACAGATTGTGGTACCACTTTGCAATGTCATGAATATCTGCTAGAGTCACAGATACTTTTGAGATTCTGTCTTGTGGAGTTAGCATAGCATTAAAGTCTCAACTAATCATCCATAGTTGTTTCCCAGGTGCCAAACTGTGTATTTTCTTCCACATGTCTTTCCTTTGCTCCATTGCATTGTATCCATACACCACTGTCATATAGCAAGCAAAGGTACTTTTTGTATATCTGACATAGCAGTGTATGAATTGAGCATCATTCTCAATTTCTTGCACATTGTATGCTTTCTCATCCCACGGGATCCAAATTCTTCCATTGGAGGCATTGTTGTAATTACTAATTATCTTCCAATTTGGTGCAATCCTTTTTTAATAACCCCAGAACTCTTCTCTTTGACTTTAGTTTCAACAAGCCAGCTATTTTTATGTACTTTACTTTTAGATACTGCTTTGTTTCTTTTTGTTTATATCTCTTATTCAATCCTCTAACATTCCAAATTAACCAAGTCATTGTTGATTTTGTGGTTTCCCTCCTATATCAGGAGGTTTGGCTTTCCCTGTCTCAGGTTCCACAGCTTGTAATGATTGGAATACATTCATGATTGTTACAGCATTACCTCCAGTTATTGTCTCCTTGTGTTGTGTTCCTCCTTGTGTAAGCATTGCTTTTTTCCCTAGGCTCCCTAACACCTTCTTTGCTAATTGCTAGTTCTTCTGCTGGTTAGTGTCATGTGCATGCTGTTCCTTGCCATTGTACTCTTGAGCTTGATGTGATGCTCTATTCTCTTTAGTATTTGATGGTGGATGATCCAGTGTATCCTCCTTCTCCTTTTGTGTGACTGTGCCCTTAGGTATCCAGGTTGGAACTACTCTCCTTTGTCTTCTGCCTCTTTGTGCCTGACCTATTGGTACTTCTTTCTTGGCTTTGCTGCAAGCATGCCCAAGTTTGAGGCACTCTGCACAATATTCTGGTTTCCATTCATAGAAAATGGCTTGCTGAAATTGTCTTCCGGATGGATCCTCCATTGTTATCTCGCTTGTTACTTCCTTAGTAACATTCACGTCAATTAGGATCCTAGCATATGATACTCTGGTTTGGTTAGTTGTACATTCATCTACAAATACAGACTTACTAATCGCACTAGCCATTGTACTAAGAGATTTATATCCCCAACAGTTCATTAGCAATTTGGGGAAAGTGACTCGCAAAGGAATTTCTGTTAGGAATTCATTTGATAGATCAAAATCTGGTGCTCATTGCTTTAATATCATAGCATGCTATTGATACTATATGGACCTCCATGCAAAACTTCCCGAAGATCTTCTATATTTTGGAACTTCACGATGTAGTAACCTTCTTCATGGAGGTAAAGAATTGGTTCAATCACATTGCACCATGTGCGAGCCACAAACTGTTTCATGTAGTTATATCCAGGTTTCTCACTAATAATTTATACTATCAGGGCATTCTTCCATTTTATGATTTCCTTCTCGACCTCCCCCTTGTCTAATTTCACTACTACCTTGCCATTGACAATGTCTGGTGCCATATATGTCAGCATCATGCCATTCTCAGCTGCTCTATTGCTTGCAAACAGATTAACCCGCGATCTATTAGGGTCTCCTACTTCTGTTGCCTTAGTCTCATGCTTGCCCTGGTCTTCTATTTCACTGCCCACCACCTGTTTGTTTTTATTACTAGACAAGCCAAGCTGGTCAGTTACTTGATTTTCCGTTGTAGTTTCTTTCTTTCCATCCCCAGAGGATGCCTGCTGAATGTCTCTTTCAAATTGTTGAGATATGCTTTGATTACCACTTGATTCTTCTCCCAGATTCACCTGAGTTTGAGCCCCAATTAACGATTTCAGTGATACCGACTGGTGGTGTTCCTCAACTGACATCCCACTTAGGTTTAATCGCTTTGCTATTGCATTCGGTGCCTGTGGTTTATTTACAATCAATGAACTGGACGGAAATTGGTTTTCCGGCGGTGTCGCGAGCTATTGTGTATTGCCTCTTTCTATTGTTTCAGCTATAACCTTTGTACTTACCAATAGTGACGAGCTGTTGTTTTGGTCGTCCCCTTATCTCCTTCCGGTGGACGTACGTTAGCATAACGTGCGCCGAGAACCTAGAGAGAATTACGATGCATTTCTTAATAATTCTAAAAGTTAGTTTTGTGAAAAAAGTAATAGAGAAACAGACAGGAAAGAAATGAAAACATATATATATAATTCACTATAGCTGGAAACAAGGTACAATATTCTTAGTTTGATCGACTAAGGTATGTGGGGCGGGAGTTATATTTTATTTAGCTAGCTAAATCGATTAACTTCAATGTTATTAAAATTCTTATACTTTTTATTTTCTTATTTATCTTATAGTTTAAAATATTATTTAGTAATACTTACGTGATCTTTTCAAGTTGTATACTCTACGGTATAGGATAGACATACAATAATTTATTACTTTTGTATATCTATTTTTATAATTGACACGATACGCATGTGTAACGCACGTGTAAAGCACATACACTAATAATTTATAACTAATATACATTTATGTACTTACTAAATATTTTATATCTCAATAATCACAATGTTGTTTTCGAATCATTTAAGTAAATCTAGTTATACTATATTCCTCCGTTTATCACACGTCAATTTGATTAATTTTAAGCGCTAGATTATAATTTATATACATATCACTTACTAAATTTCATATCTTAATAATTCGTATTTTTTTCTGAATCATTTAAGTAAATCTAGTTATATTATATTCCTCCGTTTATCACGGGTCAACTTGACTAATTTTAAGAGCTAGATTATAACTTATATACATTAATCATTACTAAATTTCGTATCTCAAATGCTTCGAATATTATTTAAGAATCATAGTAAATCTAGTTTTGATATAATTCCTTTGCTTTTCAAGGACAATTTGACTAATTTTTTGAGCTAAATTAGATTATAAAGACATATTCTTTTAAAGGAAATAAATAATATAATTCACAAATTACATAAAAAGTACTAAAATTTGTAATAAGAGGTCTAAGGTATGTGGGGCGAGAGTTATTCTTTTATTAAGCTAGCTAAAACGATTTTCAATATTATAAAAAAAAAAATTACACTTTTATTTATTGTATTTATAGCTTAAAAATTGTGTAATAATATTTACGTGATCTTTTCAAGTTGTATACTTAGTGGTCTAGGATAGAGTTACAATAAGTTATTACTTTTGTATGTGTTTTTTAATTGATTGACGTGTACGCACGTGTAAAGCACGTACACTAATAGCTTATAACCAATATGAATTAATGTACTTATTCAATTTTTTATATCTTAATAATTTGCATTTTTATTTCCGAATTATTTAAATAAATCTATTTATAATATATTCCATCATTTATTACGCGTCAATTTGACCAATTTTAAGCGCCGGATTTTAACTTATATACATTAATCTAGTGGATCTCTTACTTTTATAGAAAATAAAGAGCAGAGAAAGTAAATAAATTTCCAAATTTTTGTTTCATCAAGAAAATTTCTTTTAATATTCTGCTCCAATGTAAAGTTTATAATCTGATATGTTAAATAACTTATATACAGGGGGTGTTAGGTAGGTAGCCTACCTTGATGCAAGCATCCGTTGCTGATTCTACAGCTTGAACCTGTGACCTATAGTTCACACGGGAATAACTTTATCGTTGCTCTAAAACACCGTAATAACCTTAATTGCAAAATTGTCCTTTATCTCCTTGAATATTTTATTTAATTAACACTACATCAATTTGAGAAATAATAAGAACACAATTCTCGATTGGGATCGGTTGTAGTTTCTTAGAAGTTTGGACCCTTTGACAATCTAGGCCAGTCAGAGTGAGACTGATCAGTTCCAGGCAAGGAAAAACAAAAAAGCAATTAAAAGCTGTAGATTGAAGCTTGAATCAGTGAACATATTTTTCTTTTATTACTACTATTCACTTTTCCAGGAACACTTATTTATCACAACTGTATGGTAATTTTATAATTTATCATATACATGTAAATGTATTTTTGTATACAATATACATGCACAACAATTGGTATTACTACTAAAAGTGTTTATCTCTACGTTCATATTTCCTAGCCCAAACATGTTTTTCATTAATCCTGAACTTAGCAATAGCACATGTGCTCAAGATTTGATCAACGGTTGAAACATCTCGAACCACCATTCGAGCGTATAACGAATGGTCCAATGTAGTCGATGGCACCATATGAATGTCCTCAATACAATCTCTATATTTAGAGTTGAAGAGATCAATCACCTCTGCTTCAGTCACAGGGTAACCTTTTGAGAATGTCAAGAATAGAGTCCGATCTTCTACTGGTACTGCAGGATTTAAGGACCAAAAACTATCCAATGGCCCTTCTTCAGTCGGGATAATATAATCCAGGGTCCTTGGAACAACTTCTATAGAACCAAATGTTGAATTCAGGAGAATTCTTGATCTCCCTGGAAAGAGTTGGAGTAAAATATCCGCGAACACGATAGAAAAAACATTGTTCAAGTAATGTTTGATTCCACTTATCATAGTAAACCTTGTTTGATACACAATTTGGAAAGAAATATCGCCATCCGTTATTAGAGTAGTGAGTGGCATGTCCTGGCCTCCAGGATTAGCCATTGGGGGGACCATCGACTGAAGACATTTCAAGCATGTCGAGGCTTCATTAGATAACGAGTTCAGCACTATATTTGGTGCCTTCGCTATCTTTACAAGTGCATTTGTAAAATGAGCATGGTTTTGTAGCCAGAACCACAAAGCCATGACTAACAAGGACTCAGCTGGATTGCGATACAGGATCATGACCAGCCGCATGAACAGTTCTCTATCATTAAAATGGAAAGAGTGAAGGTCTTTCAAGGTAACTTTTGGAGATGTCATTATTGAAAAAAAGAACAGGAGAACTCTTTTGTGTGTATATTTGTTGAAAAAACAAAACTGGGAAATTCTTGTGCCTCTATATATTTTATTTGCGTGGTCTCACAGCCTTTTATATAAACCCTGAAAGGGCTGGCTTTCAATATGTTACCATCTGGGA